ATATGCTCCAGAACAGAAAGCGTGCTTAGTTAAAAGCCGGCCTAGCACAACGGATCGGGTACGCACGGCACGGAGGCGGAGATGCTTTCTAATCCGAGACACGTAAACTGGGACGCGTTAGAGCCGCAGGAATCCGAGAAACGGATGAGGTCGGTACGGCGATGACTAGACGGCCGGATTCCTTCTCCTCGCCATTGATATGTTCCCTCGTCGATGTGAGTCAAAGGCCACGTCTGGATAGCCTCTGCCGGCTGCCGCCGCATGCATTTGCTTGCATGCAAGAGGTGGATAGATTGCTTAAACAAGCCCGATGATCTTCGGATTGAAGATGTGATCTATCCATGCATAGCATCTATCTTTTCTATCCGGCCGCAAAGTCAAAGGCAAGTGAATACGTTACAATACTACAAAACAATACGAATGTGGGGTGCTCTACTTTTCTTGTTAGTCTACTGCTGGTTGTGATGTGAAACCGCAGGGGAATCTTTGCGTCGTGGTCGGGCAGTACCGCTGACTGCTGCCTCGCCGCCCCTCGACAGCGCCGGTTTTGTATGTTTCCGGCTCCGTCTCCCGTGCGCCACGTCAGTACTATAGCACGCAATAATACGCGCCTGTCTCATCACTGATGATCCTAGCTAGGCCCACCGAGGTCTTCACTCATCCATTTCCAACTGAGAAACGCAATGTATTGTCCATCCACTTGTAAGTTGTAGCATCATCGCGCTTAGTTCGTCCGGATATAACGCAGGCCGGTGCATAACTGCAACCTCCGGTGACTCCATCAGAGGCCGGATAAGGCGATAGAGAGGTCGTGGAAAAACGCCAGCATTTGTTGATTTGATCCATGCAATGCACAAATAAGTACCAGCCACGTACGGATGTCCAAGCGCGCTTAGTAACAGCTAGCTAAGGAGCGCGTCTCCAATGGAAGGATCAGAGAAGCGGCAGAAAAGAGACAAGTGAGCGATTTCTGAAGGCTTCTCGCCCCCTCCCTCCCCTTCCCCAGCTCCAAACGTCAATGCGTCGTGGTTGCATACGAAGACGTACGTAGTTCAGCTAAGCTCCACACGTACGTTGCGCTCAGAGGGCATCTACAGCCGACCCTCTCGTACCCGTATCAAACGTCCGAATAGGTCGTTTGGTCACTGATCGATAAAAAAATAATCCAATCAGACCTTTCTAACCGCGGACAAATGTCCGGTCTGACCGACACCTCTTATATTCAGCATAAATCTAGGTCAGATATGGGGCGCCCCGGGCATGCTCGTGCGCGCCCATCTGACAGGCCCAGCTCATCACGACCCCATGGTTGTCCCACAAAAATCACAATCCAGACGCCTCACTCCGAACCCTAACTCATTCTCTCTCGCTCCGTCCTCTTCTCTCCCTCTTCAATTCCGATCCCATCCACTCCGATGTCCAGCTCCGGCAGCGACTCCGGCTCAAACCTCGACTACGAGGAGGAGATGACCCTCCGCATTGCGTTGGAGCGGTCCAAGGTGGACATCAACGACAGCTCCGGATATGGAGCGTCGCCGCAACTCCCGCGTCGGCGCAACGCGGAGGTCATCGCCGCAACATGGCTATTGAGCAGTCGAAACGCGAGGCGGAGGCAACGACGGAGGCGGCTCGAGTCGCCAATTTAAAGCGGGAGCAAGACATGGTGGTCCGTCGGATGACCAAGACCCTTCACCAGCCGCGGACGCCTACAGCTGCACTGGTGACTGGAAGGGCAAAGGCCCGGCGAGAAAGTGGTGATCCCTCCCCTCCTCATATGTTTATATCGTTTTTAGTTGTAGAAATTTGAACTTGTCCGGTGACAAAAATTAAGATGATCTTTTGGATGTTGCAAAATTTGTTAATGTCCATTTGCGGTCGATTTTGTATTCATTTGCAGCCGATTTTTGTTGTCCGTTGTTCGCTCAGGTAGAGTAGCTCAACGTTGCATGTGTGGTGTGGATATAAGACACCGGATATGAGATACGCGGATACAAAGTAACAAATATGAGGCGTGCTCAATCAATGCCCTACGCGGGTATTTGAAAAACCGAATTTGTCAATCGCAGCTGTAGATGCTCTAAGCCGCTGTTAACTCTAGCTCAAGAATCTGATGCGTCGTACTGTCTATGCCGGCCGGCCTACCACTACCACGCCTGGGTAGGCATGGACGAGGAAGGAGGAGACACGGCCCAATACAGGACGCGTAAAGCCTCACACGTTGATTAGATCACAGATCGTCACGAAGATGACTAGATGCATCATTATTCCTTCTTCTCAGTTCTCACGATTGATCTGTTCGATCCCTTCTCGACGTGATCGATCATCAGCTAGCTAGAGACGAATCTAACCAACCGACCGAAACCAGCTTTATCGAGGGTGGACGCGGAGCCCCGTACGTAGGCCTGAATGACTGTGGATAGCATCGCATTTTCTTGCATGGAAGGCGTAGATAATTAATGGATGAAGATCTCGTGTGATCTATGCATCGTATCCTGGAGTACTAGTTGGCAATACAAAATGGATGATGGCGTGGATACACAATGGCAATGCGAACGTGGGAATCTACTGGTTGTGATGTGATGTGATGTGATGTGAAGCCGCGGGAGGAATCTTTGCGTGGAGGTCGTCGATCGGGCGGGCAGCGCTGTTCGCCGGCCATAGACGGACAGCGCCGGTTTTGTATGTTTCCAGCTCGGCCGTCCGTGCACCACGTAGTTAATCCTACAACACACGCCTCTAATGATCGATGTAGGGTTCCAAGGAAATCCACTCTTCTTTCCGGGATGGATAACACGCGGTGAATAATTCCGTACGTAGCGTTCATCCGGTTGACAGCGTCGATCGCCTGCATGCATGTTGTGAATGGTTCTTCATTCAGGATAAAGTTAGTTTGACCACATGCAAGTATGAATCGGGTGGATCTCAAATCTCCAAGGAAAGGAAAGGATCAGAGACGCGCGAGAGGGAGGAGCCCACTGATCCACAGCGAGTGACGGAGTGAGCAACTGCGGAGAAGTCCTCGCCTCCTCCAACCCCAAAACGTCAATGCGTCGTATTCTCCCGATCTCCACCGGCTAGCGACGCACACTCAACAAAAAGAAAGGAGCATCTTCGTCCACGTACAAAGTCAAAGCACAAAAAACGTGTTCTGCTTAGAGCATATCTACCGCGGGACTTTTTAAATCGGGCTCCGCAAACGCTCGCGGATGCGACTAGACGCGCCCGCGGACAATAACCGGTCACACCTTAAATTAACCATTTCTCATATTTTAACCTCTAGATCCATATAAAGCATGCAGAAGAAATCCTACGTACTACTCTAACTACTTTTTGTCGTCGAATATGTCCATGACAACGATGCCGGACGCCGACTCGACGGGCGGGTAAGAGGGCTCCAGCTCATCCTTCTCCTATTCGACCTCATTCATGTAGGCGAGCATCTTCGCCTCCTCCGCGGCAATGTTGCGTCTCCATCTCCTGCCGGTGACGTGTGGCCTCCGCAGCCGACTCCGACCGGAGGGAATCAAGGATGGCCTATTGCTACGCCTGCAGATCCGCGTCGCCAGCGTCCCCCACATCCTCCTTCTCCGGCTCATTCTCCTCCTCCTCAATCTCATACTCCCCCAACTCCTCCTCCGGATCCACTGCATTCGGATGTAGCTCCACTGCGATCCGAGCTTCGCGCCTAGCCGGGATATGGTCAAGGAGCTCGAGTCGGTGCTCCGGCGTCAGAAATGGCTCGCTCCTCACCCGGCGGCGTGGGGGCATGGCTACTAGGCAGGCGGGTGGAGTGAAAAGTGGCGGCGGACATGCGAAGGAAAATATGGATGGATGGTAGGGTTTCGGTGCCGCCGGTCAACTTAAATAGCCAGACTAGGCAGTACGCGGCCCGCCGGAACGGCGCCGATGGAGAAGACGAGCTTCGAACCGCCGGGTTTCCGAACGTTTATACGTGAGACCAACCATCAGTCCGACGTGGCAATCGCGTCTAGACTCATCCCATATTTACGCTAGATATGAGGGGATGGCGGTCAATTCGGACATTTGAAACCTGTTTAGGATATCTATCTGGATCGAAAAATCGTGACCGATCGAACGGGTCGGCTGGGCGTTTGAGAGGGGCGCCCGGCTGTAGACGCTCTTATCGCGCAAGGCGGTGCGCGCAGAACGAATGAGGCCGAGCGATCACGTACATACACAAATCTTATCAAGGATCCGATACACGTTACACAAGTCTTATCAAGGATCAGATACACGCGTCTGTCCCTCTGCCTGAAGTTTTTGTATGGCACATAGGTAGGTTCCGTTGGGATCACTCAGACAGAAGTCACGGGACAGCATCTAGGCATCTCACGTCACGATGGAGCCCGTGCACCGTCCATCCATCTGTCGAGCAGCAGCAGCACAGGAGTTGTTTTCGGAGCAGAGGTAGCTCGCATGTCGCGAGCGAGCCTTTTCCCTCCCTCTCACCGCAACCGTGCACCGACGCGTCACGAGCGAGCACAACAGGACCCACGCACGAGGGGGGGCATGTCGGGTTACGCCCAGAAGCAACAGATCGGACGAGATCTAGCATCACGGTCAAGCGAGCAATGATGCCCCCGCTGCTGATTGCTGAATTTCTTTCTTAAACCTACGGCATGCAGCAGTGCGTTAACTGATTGGAGCAGGCGAACCCGTGGGCGCCCTAAACCGACTGATTAGACGGAACGATTGATCGAGAGAGGCCAAGAGAGAGTATCTCTGGTCGGCATTAAGTAATCTGAAACTGTGGTGGCATCTGGAACACGATGGAGTACATGACAATTGACAGATACAGTACTAGGAAGAGAGGAGAGGAGAGACCCGGCCGAGCAAAACATCGCTTGATCTTTTTTCCTTAGTTTATGCATGCATGGTGTGAAGCACAGTAATAACAGTAGTAATGGCTGTAGCTACGGACAGAGCGGCGCCAGCAGCAGCAGGCCTGACCAGCTGGTGCCGGTGGCGGTGAGCTCGGTTCACCCTCTTCCGGGGCCCTTGGGAGGGTCATGGCGGTTGTTGGCGCCGGACCCGGGGTAGTCGTTCACCTCCACGACCATCCTCGCCGCCGCCCGGCCCCGCGGCTTCCCGGCCGCCGCCGTCGTCATCTCCTGCCGAGAGGAAAGCTTCAGAGACGGCGGGCGCTGCTGGCTCCTCAGGCGCATGCTCCCTGTAAGGCCACCACACGAATGATCAGCGACAGCAACTGAATCTATATATGGCGCATGTATCATGGATCAAGAACGGAAGAATCAGGAGCCGAGTGTCGGAGCAAGAAGGGAGAAAGCTTACTTGACGTGGGCACGGCGGACGCCGGCTGCAGGGGAAGGACGGCCAGGAGGAGGAGGACGACGAGGCAGAGGGAGGCGAGGAGAGGCCTCGGCCTGCTGGAGCGGCCGGGGGACTCCATTGCTGTTGCTAGAAACGAAAACAACTGTCACTGCTCACGGGTGGTGGTGGTGGTGGTAGGCAATGGTGTGTGGGTGGTGAGGTGTTGCCTGCTAGTGCTTGGGGTTTTATAGTTGGACCAGGGCTGGCTAGATGGCCGATGGCTGGCTTTCTCCTCTTGTCCCACTAAAAAAGGTCAACTTCGCATTGCTTGCTCGGTTTAGCAGGCGGGGGATTCTCTGCGGAAGTCCTCCCCTGTGCACGTCCTTGTGGCACTACTACTAGTAGTAGTAGTACTATTTTGATGGCTAGCATTGTTAGTATTTTTTTGAGTTGGGAATGGCTACCATTTTGCGGTGGCTGGATCAAAGGGAATATTGAGGATAATTGGTTTGATGCCAACATTTGGCATTGCCAATACTTGGCAAGCCAATAATTGGTAATATCAAAAGTTGCCAAAAATTAGCAATTTCTTGTGAGGTTTTCAAGTAAATATGGTAGCCAACCAAGCACTAGCCAATATTTGGGATTTGCCAAATGTTGGCATGCCATTTTTTGGCATCAAATCAATTATCATCATTATCTTTCATACCCGTTTTTTATTGTGTAATTTGTGAGTGGACTTATCCCGTCCCAAATATAGACCCACTCTAATGACATGATTAACTTTTAGTATTTTATGGCTACCATTGTTAGTATTTTCTGAGTTGGAAATGTCTACCATTTCATGGTAGCTG